GACTAGACGCTGGGCCACGTCTCATAGTAAGTTTTTTCTTTATCCCATGCTTGCCGCACTGAGGGTCCGACAAATCTCGGGAGGCGGGACACTACCGCAAGGCCCGTCAATTTTCGGGCAGGATCGACTGTATGCTGCAGACTCGCTGACCGTCATGCAGAGGGACAGTGGGAGGAGCTGCAGCGAAGAAAGCTTTTGAAGATAGCTTACTTCTGGGTCAGCCACTGTACGAGCACAATTGGCAGCCGGGTGTGGAGCTATAATGGGGTGGCCAGGACGACCAGGGATTCTTGGGTGGCTAAGTCTGCAACGTGGCTTTCTTTCCTTTGTGCCATCCCGATGCCATTGATGTTTCAATCGGGAGCAACGCTCAGGCGTCATGCAGGCGTACGAAAACAGGAGGTAGATAATGTGGTCGTCATTCGAAGGCTCAGATATGGGCCACAGGTTTGCCGCCCACATTGTCGAGGCTCTGAGCAGTCCAGTCCCGGCGTGGACAGTCGTAGTGTGCGTGAGAGCAATGACCAAAGGTCGAGTGCAGTGCAGGAACAACCTGGGCGTACTCCGACCGCCTACTGTTTGAACGGCGCACAAGTCAATGACTGTGATAGATCGGGACAAAATCGTTGGCTAATTCGGAACCTCTCCTTCCTTCTGATTGTTTCCCCTACGGTGGCGAGTTAGATTGGGGTTACCAGGTACTCGGATCGAATGTGCGCAAGACAAATTAATCAACGACTCAAATCGCAGATGTCGATGGCCACCGTTCAGTCCGTTCATGATCGAGAGCAGATCGGATTAGGGAGATGAGGTACGTACATACGCCAGGAACAAAGGTCGTACCAAAACGGGGTGGGGAAAGGACGGGGGAGCGCTAAGATTCGGGGCCGGCTTGTCCGGATACTACCAGCCGGACGCTAGCAGGTGGGCCACGTCCAGCCCTTTCGGGCGACCTACAGGAGCGGAGATCGCTTCCACATCGGTCAGGATCATCTCGAAATGGTTCGCCACAGCCTTGACCGAGCATCCACTCTGTGGCTTCAGTCAACATGCCAGTCTATTCCCCCCTGCTCCTGTGCTTTGTAGGGCTTGGTAGGTAGGGTAAGTCGACGACGAAACCAAGTAGACGTGTCCAGGTCCCAGTATCCCGCGCGTGACGTTCAGCCCCCTTCGTCTGCTTTCTTTTTCCTCTTCTTCTCCTTCACCTGCAATTTCCCCCACCTGTCGTCGCAAGCGGGACACGCCACGCTAGCACCAAGGCCACGAAATAATGTATGGCGCTGAGCCTGTCGATTGACCACGGCATCACTACGATCGTAATGCTGGAATAAAGCGCACTGCGTACGACATATTGATTCTGAAGAAGACATCTTGGATTCAGCCAGCTGAGGAGCAAATGAGGAGCTGCAGCTTGATCAGTTCTAGTATTTCATTGTTCATGAGTATCAGTGAGACGTTGCTAGCAAACCAGTCTCTCATGTACGGTGTCCATGACAGCGCAAGGGTACCAATATTGTGCAACTCGATTGTGTCGTGTAATGGCTTAGAATATGAGGCGGTGCGCAATGACTTTCACAGCGGTTTAATGGTTATGGATTACGGCTCCACGTCCGTGGGGGGAAGGGGGAAGGGTGACGAAGGTTTCGACGACTGTCGTTTCTTGACGCGGCTCAGCTTCCGAAGGGATCATCCTACTATTACCTCGATTATCAATCGATCTACGCACACGACCGAGACCTTGCCCCAAGGCAGCAGAACCATAAGGACACATATCTACTCACATCTACTCACCATGCAGGTCATCGTCCCCGTCCATTAGTGAGATATTTCTTCTTTTCTCTGCCCTCGTGTTTTGGTCCATTTCCAGAACGGGTACTGTACCGTCTGCATTTTGCCCAGCGCCAATTTGATAGCATTGCCCATCCAACGATTCTTTTCTTCACGTCTCTCGAAATGTACTTTTCCACTTCATCAAGGTTTGACACCACGGGTGCTCACCGACGATTGAGATTACGTCCCGGATCCGTATCATGTCCCCACAACAATGTCTGGTAGAGCCCTTCTGTTTGCTTTGTGACTCTACTTGCAGCTTCGATCGGGTTACGAACATCGTCAGAGCACCACATCTCGTCGGACTACCTTACCGATATACGGCCACGGGACTGAGAACCCGGATCGTCTGGGCTGACAGGGGAGACGGCTAGCGACCCGGCCGACGTTCCACAGGCGGGCGTCATCGAATTGGTCTCAAATTGTGGTGTCACGGCGGGCACGGCGTCACGACATGCACACGCACAGAGACGAGGAGAGGTGAGGAGAGCCTGATGCGCAATCGAGCGGCTGCCGCTAACCACGGACAAGCGTGCCAACACCGAGGTCCTCGCCTGACTTTGCGAGGTTGACACGACCTGGCTGGGGTCTGTGGGTAAGTCGCCTGCACGGGCTCTTGCATGCGCCGTTCTGGGTCCAAAAAAAGAAAACATGTCTACAACCCCCCCCCCTGTATCACTGTTCAAGCATTTCCTAGAAGCACGCCCAAGCAGGGCGAGGGCGGGGAACACATCGTCGTGCGAGCCAGCCGGTTTTTCTGCCATTTCTGTATCATGATGGGTGCAGGCCATTTTTCCCGCACCGATACCGGGATTTGATCCTTCAGGCGAACCTAGGATCCAAGTACCGGGTTTCCAACACGTCTAATGAACACTAAGGGATCACTTGCCTTCGAGCCTCCTTTCTAATCTTGAGCCAGGATGCTGTGCGCCTCCAAGTGAAAGAGCCGGGCCGTCCCTTGCTGAGGCATATGCGCTGACAATGAGTCTTCCAAGCTACTTACACTGGTGCGTCCTTCTCAGACACGCAGCTGAACGACGACTCCAGCTATCGGGGCAAGTCTCCGTCGCGGGTAAGACCGGTCTGGCAGTCCTACTTTCCTCCAGGCCACCCACTCTCTGACTCCATTCTGCCACCTTTCAACAACCCCTGCTGATGCTGCAATTGCTGTTACCGTTGCTCCTCCCTTCCTCCCGTTGCTATCAGACCGCACCTGCTTTCCATGCATCTGCTGGCCAGCTCGCTGGCTTGGAATTGCCTGCCACAATGCGCACCACATGCCATGCCTTTCTTTTACCTGCCCGCCAGCCAAGATATCCTGTCAAGGTTTAGTCTGCTACTCTCTCGTTCTCCCTTGTGCCTTCGATGCCTCACCTGCCTTATCTGCCGATGCTCCCCTCCTGCTGGCCATCTTTCTTCGTCAATCTCCGCCAAGGATCGTCGACAAATCTTTGTAGGGTCACATCACTTGTCGTTCGCTGCCGCTCCTCCCTGAGGAGCCGTTGGCTGATAAAGCTCATACCCAGGCTTGCACCAGGCTTAGGTAGCGCCAGTACCCGTCTACTATACTACGTCTGCCGTTACCTTTCTGGTCTACGTACCCGCCTAACTCATCTCATCTCGCCGAATCGATCTAGGCTCGCCTTCCACGCACTCGGCCGGGGCCCCATACCTGGACCGGCCGCCCTCGCCGTCTGCTGTGCGACGCGCCTTGCCGAATACCGGGAGGTCTTAGGTTTGTACACTGTGAAACGGCTGCCGCACATCAAGTGAGTACCAGTTGAGATCGATTTCCTTTCTATCCTTCACACCCCTCCTCTTTCCTTGTCGCGTCCTCAATCTTGATCCTGACTTGCCCTTTGT